AAATCTTTCACTTACAGTTAACTACAAGTAGCAAATGGATATATTCTTCTGGACTTTAAGGATTTATTTTCATGTTCCTGTCTTTATTCATTTTGCCTACAATCACAAAGTTCTTAGGAACCCACCACTCACTAAGATCCCTTTGTACTTCTCTTCCTTTCCTCTCCAAGAGTCACAAGCATCCTAAATTTTATTTTAGTTGATTTCTTATTGACTGTTATAGATTTGCCACATGCAAATATAATTTTTTGCCATACTGTCAATAAATCCTCTCCTTTTCTTCTGTGATGTCCCTTTTTTGCCCAATGTTAGATTTTTACTATTTGATCTCATTTTAAATATATGGTTAGAATTACTTTGTGCTATTTTAGTGCATTCCATTTCACAAAGGTTCGATAGTTTATTTTTCTATTCTATTGTTGAGAGGCATTTGGGCCGCTTCTAATCCCCTGTTACGACAAACAATGCTAGTAACTGTAAGATTAATATTGGAAGGTTACACTGGAAGATTAATACTGGGCTTAATACTGGAAGTTCTGTTCATCTGTTCTGGCACAAGGGCACAAGAACTCCTCCAGGGATTATCTCTGGAGTGAAAAAGCTGTTGTGCAATGTTTGTGCATCATCAACGTCACCCAGCAATGCCAAATGGTTTTCCAACTAACTGCACCTCTACGTGTGAGAGCTCCTCCTTCTCCACCTTCTCTACAGCACTTGGTATTGTCAGAGTGTTGCGTTATAGCCAACGTAGTAGTCGAGAACAAGTATTGCCGAGCTTTCATTTTACTCCTGACTCCTGAGATTAAGCATGTTTCCAAATGTTTACTGGCAGCATTATTCCTATTCCACAAACTGTCTCTTCTTGTTGTTCTTGAATCTTTTTGTGCTGATTTATTTGGCTCTTATGTATTCAATTCTATCTCTGTGTATTTATCTGTTGATTTATATATATATAATTATTCTTTTACTCAACTGCCACCATGTTCATGGCCACCCTCCACATGCTCAGGCCGAGCCTCACCCACAAGTGAACCTATTCCTGGACACTTCATACCACACACCCTATCCATACTCCAAGAGTACCACACCATATTGCCAAAAGTAGGGTTCAAAAGTAGGAGACAACCAATCTTAGAGGGAATTTTTTTTACACACACACATATATAAATATATATAAAAGCACACAAGGTTAAACCTTTAACAACATGTTAGCGATCTCTTATAGAAGGGCTTAATGACCCTGTGGTGAACTACAACAATATTCACACTCTTTCCCCTAAGAAAACTTTTTGTAGCATTTTCAGCTGCTTTTTATAACAAACAATACAAAATAAATTATTTTGGTTCTGCTTTGTGGCAGGGGTTGGGACTCGGGATGGAAACATCTGAAATATGGTGGTAGGAAGGTGCAATGGTAGTGAGATTGGTGTTTAACTATTAAATGTAATCAAATATTGTGAACTACTTTATAAAATAAAAATTAAATGAAATTATTATTTCAACTCTCTTTTAACAATAATAAATCATCTGCATTGCATTACACAGCTCAGTCTAGTTAGAAGGGCTAATTGCAGTGAATGTTTGCATCCCCACCAATATGATTTTCTAAAGGGAAAATCCATACTCCAGATATGTGCCAAGTCCCCAGACATTGTGCAAGAAAGGATGATAGATCCAAGAGTATAACCACCAGGGCTTAAAATCCACTTAGACACTGGTGTGAAAGAAGAAAAGTTTTGAGTATGAGAGCATGAAAACAGTAGAACATGGTAAGAATTTTCACTACTAAAATGGAAGATTATGAAGAATACAAAGTAAAATAAATCCCCTCAGCTCTTGCTTCAAGCTAATCTATTTTCCAACCCCTGTTTCCTACCAGGGTGAGTAAATAGGTCAGATTAAGGGAATCAACACAATTAGGCTAACTGTGGTGGTCTCTGCCTGCCCTTGCCAGCCCTGCAGACCAAAGAAGAAAGGACCTTCTGCTCCCCCTTCACAGACTTTCAGTTTCACTTCAGTCCTGGCTCAGCACTCACAAGATTTAGAGGAAGCTGGAAGCACAGCTCACCAAAAATATGTGAGACCCTTTCTGAACTACATAACAGATCAGTATTTTCACTATCTTGTCGTTTCCCAACAAAATGATCAGCCTGGTGTCCTCTCTATGCTATTGCTTCTCCACCCCTGCAACTTGAAGGTCTGAAAGTTGACTTTGACCATGAACAAGATGTTTAGTGTTTAGTTTCAGGTCACCCTTATAATCACAATCCTTTGGTGATCATCTGTTTTCTGATTCTTAACTAGGAAAGATGTTGTCTTCTGTCCAGAGGACAACTGTCAATGTCTGCAGGCATTTGTTTGAGTCATAGCAAATGGTGGTGAAAGTGTTACTGTCTTCTATGGGTGAAAGACAAGGATGGTGTGAAAGCATGTTATGTGCAAGACAGGCCCCCACTAAAACATATTCAGTCTCAATATCAATAGCATCCAGATTGAAAGAGCCGATCTACTCCTCAACAATCTAGTCTGGAAGAGTCACACAGCACTGACCTCCCTGACATGAGTGCCGTCATCCACATCTCCTTAAGAAAGGTGATCTTGAGCAGCCAGTTCCTATAGTCACACCTGGGCAAATGATGCTAGAGAACAGATCACAGATCCCATGGTGGAATCAGAAAATCTCCTTGATAATTGACATGTATGAAATATATTCATGAACATAGCTCAGTTATACAGGGTGACAAAATGTTATGGAGAATTGCAAGGACTCATATATTTACTTGTATAATTTTAGACTATTAAATAAACTTTATTCAATAACATCATCTTCTTTTGGTTAGTCACTTTGCTAGTAGATTCATTATAAGTCGGGGGAAGAGGACAAATACCAGAGGATTTACTCATTTGTAGTATATCTATATCTATTTTCCTGAGAGAGAGAGAGAGAGAGAGAGAGAGAGATCAAGAATAAAGGGATGTTATTGAACAACTGCAAACCCGTGACTTTGAATTTAAAAATTGTTTACCAAATAGTGGGGAAAAGGATGGGGGGAATGGAGAGAGAAACTGGAAGTTACATAGGGACAGTGGCAAAGGGTCTTGGACACTTTGGTGGTGGTAGGATATAACAACTTTGTACATTAACACAAATGTTAACACTGTAGTACCCATGTTACCAAAATTAATAAAAATAAATTATGAATATGAAAATAAATATATTTCTCAAATAAATCCGCCAATATTTATAACATGCTCACTAGGACAAGACACCATACCCAACATATGTTTAATGGTAACTGTGGAGATCTGCTAACAAGTATCTGCTAACTGTGGAGAACTGCTAACAAGGATTCCCTTGCAGATGGGATGGAAGCTTGGGTCCTTGTGACTGCAGACTCTTGGACCTTTCTTTGGAGTCTGATTTTATCAGTCACGTTGTATCTAGGAAACTGTAGTTTTAATAATCACCTGATTATTAAAGTGTACCCATGGGATTAATAAAGTGTACCCATGGGACCATGATTTAAGAAATCTTGGTAGAAATTATAAAGCCCACCTAAACTAATTGCAAGTCTGAGAATATGCAGTCCTGAACTGAGAATTTTCCTGTATAGTTAGAAAAAAATCAATTTAACTGTTGTCTCAAGTTTTCCACTCTTAAGCAGAGAGTAAGATCTATGAAAACACAGATAATGAGAGAATAAAATGATCCTATATAAATAGAATCAGGATATATTCAAACTAACCAAAACATAGAAGTTTAATTTCTAAAGATGAATTTCATGACATAGAATGTATCATTAAAATGCATTAGTGTGAATAATAGGAGAAAATATCTTGTTTGTGTAAGAAGTTTGATACCAAATAGCCTCTGAACCAACCTCAACATGCAATAATTCTGTTTGATTAGGGACTGCTGATACTCCTCCGTTACCAAAACAAATGGATTCACTGATTACTCTCAATTTTCTCTCAAATGCTTTCTCATACCTACTTCATTAACACTCCATTATGTAATTTTGCAGTAGACCACTTATTTTAGTAGCACATAGGCCACAAATAGAAATCCAAATCTAAATCTTGTTCCAAGAAATATTTTTTCAAGCTCTTAGAAATACCTTACCACTTACCACTGTCCACTACATAGAAGTGATCTCACTATAAGGGTAAATGTATAAAACACTGGATTTCACTTTGGACAAAATTGCTCTAGCATAAGTTACTATGATCAATTTATTAGAAGAATAAACTCATGAAAAGAAACTCAAGATAATGATGACTGAACAGATTACAATCAATATATCACCATTATCATTAAAGAGAAAAGGTATGGATTAAGAGGCCAGTATCTCTGATAACATCCTAGCATCCCTGAAGCTAATTTATTTTAAATACCTCTTTTTTCAGGTCTCTAAGGATTTCATTTCAATCTTCTAAGATGTGTTATACTTGCAAATGTCTCTAAGTTTCTCTCTTGACCTTGTTGTTCACTTATTGCTGCAAATAAACTCACCTCAGACCAGCTCTGCACCCTCCATTCCCCAGAGTCCAGAGAAAAGATTTGGAGTCACAGTGGGCTCATAAGACAGAACACTGGGAATTTATTCACAGATTAAACATTCAGAAGTCTCACTTCTCTATGTTTGAGTCAAAATCCATTCAAACCATGAATCGGTTTTCAAATCAAAAACGATACTCACATGAAAAACAGAGAAAAACTCACCATTTTGTGTGTGATCTTTAGTCTTAGCCCATATGAAGTACCCTAGATCCCTCACACCAGAGAACTCCATTTTATGAGTATCTCCAAGTGAAAAGAAAAGCTCCTAACCTAGAATTTGAGAAAATTAAGTTGGCAATTCTACTTAAATGCAAATTTTCCCCAAACCCAGATTTGTTGAGAGATCCCTGCTTAAGAAGATGACACTCCCTGCAGGCCAGCATGCAAATGGAGCAATCAAGCATAAGAAATCATAAAAAAGGAAACGGAATTGTCATACCTATTTTCCCAGCCTCCATCTTCAAGTTAAAATCCCAGTTTCTTGGCAACTTCAGGGACATTTTGCTTCTAGTTCCGGTAAGTAGCAGAAGAAGTGTTGAAGCTATCCCAATCCGTGCTCTTTTCAGCCTTTTGGTCTTTGCTTCTAGCATGTGTATGTGAGTTTCCTCCTTTATGGTTACTTCTCAAGCAATCCTATGGTTCAGGTTGATTTTCCAACGTGTCTCCTCCTTTGTCTCAGATTAAAGGTCTTTCCATCTGCTACTTGGGGGTGATACTCAACTCCCCATCTCACCCAGTGCTTCTCCTACTGCAAGGAGGGCTTGTGCCTGGTGAATTGGGCACCTCACTTTACTTGCTTTCAGTTTTACCAGAAATATCCCAGTTGACACTTCGCTCTGCGTCACGGGAAGCAAAGCTCCTATTTGAAAGAATCTTGGGCCTCACTGAGGCAAAGTCGTGGTAAACAAGTCCTGCCTCTTGGCTCCTTTTTTTTTTTCTCAACTGTCTGCTTCCTTGCATTTGAGGAAGTGGGTGACTGTTCAGTGTAGATGATACATTATGAGAACTTTCTTGAGAAAACGATTTTTTGAATTGCTTATGTAAAATAAGTATTTTTAAAAAATATTCAGTTAAAGAAAAAAGAATCGAAAACCACCACCATTTACCTCTAAATTTCACCTACCAAGAAGGATAGAGTATCTGAAAATGGTCAAGATAACATGCCCCCTCCCCCCACACACCCCTTGTATTTAATATTACTCCTGCTCTATGGAACCCAAGCAGTAAGTTCTCCATCTGTTCAAGATAAAGATAAAGGTGTCTAGAATCTCAGCCTGATGTTGAAACATACCTGATAAGTTACTCTTAGCTTGGTAGATCCACTCACAAGTTTTAATGGTCCTTTGGCTTATGCTTGGGATGTAGGTTTTGAAATTAGACAGACATTATTCAAAATTCACTTCTCTCATTGAGTTAAAAGCACTGCAACTTTTAACAAGTAACTAAATGTCCCAACACCAGTAAAATTACATTGATAATAACCATGACTACAAAGAGCTGTGAGGACATCTAGCATAGAGCTTCACTCGCAATGCTTACACCACAACATTTATTTAGTACTTATTTTATTTACGTTCCATGACCAGCTTGCATAAGTTTAACTGGATAAGCATAAACAGAAAAACAAACACTGTCCTCCCGTTGTTCATCCATTTGCTTGAGTGGGCCCAGTAACGTCTCCATTGTGAAACTTGTTACCGTGTTTGTCATATTAAATACGTCACTGGGAGCTTGCCAGGCTTTGCGTGTGGGTGAGATACTCTCGGTAGCTTGCCGGGCTCTCCTAGAGGGGTGGAGGAATCGAACCCGGCTCTGCCGGTCTGGCTTCGTGCAAGGCAAATGCCCTACTGCTGTGCTATCACTCCAGCCTGAATAAGCATAACTTAATGATTATTTGGCCCCTGAACTTGGACTGTCAATGTTCAAATCTTGGCTTTTCCATTTGGGCAAGTTTGACCACTCTTTGCTTTAAAGTCCCTATGCATAAATGAGCCAAATAATTGGGTCTCTTTAGAAGACTGTGTGAGGAATTCTTAGTCAGTGCATTATTAGAAAGTAGGTTTTCTTAACAATCCCTGAGTGACAGCATGCAAATGGTATATTCTTGGTTCAGTTATTCTTGAATAACTCTGTCACACTTTTTTTCTTGCTTGTCACATTCTCACTCTCATTCATGATCGGGCTAACTGTTTCACTGAGAAACTTAATGAAACTAGAAGAGAATATCTGAAAATACAATCACATATCTACCCATTTTCTTGTGTCAAAGTCTAAACACTCAACCTTAATCTTATGAAAATAGGTGAACCAACCCTCATCCCTTCTCCATCTTCACTGCAGTATCAGTTTCTTGTCTTTCCTATCATTTCTATCAACAATTAATCCTGCTTTTTTGTTACATAGTTTCCAAAAATAACTCTTTATACTGCCTCCCTCACGAGCTATATCCCCAACTCTCTCTAATTTCTGAACAAAACCTGAGTAAGAACTGTCTACTTGTGAATGTCTCCCTGTTAGTCTTTCCTAAATCCCTTCCATCTATGTTTTTGCCTTTGTGACTACCCAGACAATTTAGGACATGATGGTATCCCTCAGATCCATAGGTCAGGCCTGCATCTCACCTTTTTTGCCTTTCAGCAGCATCTTTGGACACATTTAACCACTTTCTTCAACTCTACCCTGGCTCTTTAGAGCCAAGGCCTCCTTGCCCCTGACTCTAGGACCCCCTCAAAGGATTGTTGTCTACTTGCCTTTCCAGCTGCTACTTCTCCATTTCCTTGCAGGCTCTTTTTAATTTCTCTGAACTTTAAATATTGGAAGAAATCAAGATTCACTATGTGAACTTTTATTCCATCCATAACTAAGTGCTGTCTGTTGATACTTCAATGCACATTTTTTAATAAAACATTAGTTTTGATTTGTAAGTCTACAACTGTACCTCATGGTGTTTCACTAATAAAAAAAACATTAGTTTTGGAGTCACACCTGGCAGTGCTCAGAGCTTACTCCTGGCTCTGCATTCACAATCACTACTGGTAGAGCTCTGGGGATCATAGGAGGTGCCAAGGGTTGGACTCAGGTCAGCCACGTGTGAAATAATCAAGTACCCCATCTGCTTTGGTGTCTCTACAGCTTCTTCAGTGTATATTTATAGCCTAGGTTTCCTTCAGAACCCCAAATCAAATGCATCTCCCCTTAAAATCCATCTAAAAGCCACTTTATATTTAAGTACCTCCAAAACTTATCTTTAGGAGATCAGGTAAAAGAAGAAATGATAACCTGAAGCATGTTCCCATTGTGAACAAGAAAAATGTAAGAGGGAAAAAAATCACATAAGCATATTTAAAATCTCTTGTTTAATCAACAATAAAATATAAATAAATTAATGGATGAATGAATAAAATCAGTCTCTTGCTCATACATGGAAGGTTTTAAAGAAGTTAAGAATAGCACCAAAGCCACAACTGTCAATTAAAAAGTTATGGGGGAAGGAGTGGGAAGGAAGGAACATTGGACGGGAGTGGACATAAGGATTGGGGAAAGGGTCATGGGCAATTTAGGGCAGTATCTTTGTACCTCAATACCGGAAACTTGATCACTGTTTTAACTGTTACCTAAGCTATAGTAAGTAAATAAATAAATCTCCACCCATATCACACCTGCTCATGTTCCAGTAGTCAATATATATCATGTGGTCAAGTCCAAAGTCTGTGAAGGTGAAGTATACACAGCTCTAAAGGGGAGGAATATACAAGGGTGTGAACATTTGCTGACTAAAACAAGGGCCAGAGTGATGGTACAATGGGTAAGGTACTTGCTTTATGAACCAATCCAGAGTTCAATCACTAGCACCCCATCTGGTTCTCTGAACCCACCAGGAGTGATCCCTGAGCACAGGCGGGTATAGTCCAAAAACACAACAAAACAAAATTTAAAAATGAAACTCCAATTCAATGCATAAACGCAATTTACCCCAGCTGTTGTCCAATCTCCACAGGGGCATGGGTTCATCTGGACTTTGCCTGCCCAACAGCATCTCCAACATCTACAGTTTCTGTCTTGAAACCTTTAATTCAAGAACTCTGACAGTAATTTAAGTGTAGCATTTAGAAATACACAGTTAACTTCCTTTACTCCTACAAGTAGGTTCCTGTGAGTCTTGGAAAAACTCATGACCAATGGGGAAGTTGGTTGTGAGTACTGGAAAGGCAACCAGAAGAGAAGTACTCCCGGCAAGGTCCAGCACATCTCAGGGTAGAGGGCAGCCATCTGTTGAGTGCTACTCTCCCCTTTCCTAACCTGCAGAAAACAGAGAACTAGATATCTTATCTGGTCACAAAGTTTGAATCTATAATAGCGAAAGCAAAACCTCATGTAGGTGCTTTGCAAATGCTAGTCATTTATTGAATAATGGAGGAATTTTGTGAAACATGAGGGACTGTCATGAATAAGCACATTTGGTTTCCACCCCTATTCAGCTTGCAATGAAATAGAGAGCAAGAGTTATGTTAGGGAAAGTGTAGAGGGTTTTGGGAATTTATATTCAAGGGGCATAATTAGGATTCAGGAAGGAAGGGAAAAATTCCTAGAGGAAGTGTGTTTTAATTAAATTAGGATGCATAAGTTACGGAGACATGAGTTAGGGAAATGCTTTCAGAAAAGCAAATAACTCCTTGAGAGGTATAAAGTCAAGAAACAGCTCACTGGGTTTCTCCTGAAAAAGATGAAATGGTTGTGATAGAGGAATAATGAAACTCAAGAGATAGGCAGGGCTGAATGAAGCCTGACCCACAATAAGTATCAGTATTAATTCTGACTTTACCCTGAAAGAATGAAGCCACTGAAGAGTTTTCATTGAGGTGGGGTGAGTAGGTCATGGTAGATATTCAGGAGAAAGATAAACAGGCCAGCATCAGTGAAAAATGGAAAAATTGCTCAAGAGCTATTTATATAATAGAATTGATAGCCCTGAAGAATGGAGGAAGAGAGAGCTAGAGAGTTAGATGTACCCACTACAACCACTGAACTTGTTCTATTTTGCATATTCTGAACATTTCATATAAATGGAAGAAATAAAAGAATATGTAGACTTTTATATGTAATTTTTATACTTAGTGTCATTTTTTTCAAGAGTCATCTACGCTGTAATGTGCACCAAAGATTTTTTTATGGCAACATAAACTTCCTCTATATGGAAAGAGCACATTTTGTTTATCCATGGACATCTGCATTATTGCTTCTTTTTTTTTGATGTCTTGAACAATGCTGCTGTGAACAAGTTTTTTTTTATGAACATGGACTGTTGTTTTCCTCAAGTAGTCCTTACAAGTGGAATTTCTGGTAAGATATAATGACTGAAATTCAAATTTTGAGAAACTTTCAGAATGCTTTCTTAAGTGGCCATTGTATATTCCCAGTAGCAATACAATAAGATTCCTTTTTACCCCTACATCCTTTCCAATACTTGCAGAATTTATCTTTTAAATTCCATCTATCCCAATGGATCTGAAATAGCATCTCACTGTTTTGATTAGCATTTCCTTATTGGCTACTGATGCTAAGCATCTCTCCTTATTGGTGCTTATTAGTTAATGTGGTTTTTCAAAATATAATTCTTTCTCTTAAAATATTCAAAGATGTAGCCACAGGGAACCTGTATTTCTGTGTCCAACTATAACAGAAAGCTCCAATTTTTCACTTAA